GCTAAACCACGTTACCTTTAATTATTTTTATACTTAAGATTAGCGGAAAATACTGATTACCCACTCCGTTTTTACCATGTAGCTACGTTATTGAAACGGATAACTTCTTCTTTTAAAAGTAACCGTCCTCGCCCACGGCCCCCAACCCTTGAATATAACACCAGCCGCCTGTTTTTAATGTGCCATAAGGGTAGATAAGGCAGGCTCAGCACGCTCTGTTCCCTGAGAGGGAGACGCGTCAATCATCATCACGGGAATTGTTGATATACCAGACACACCGGCAGTATCGAATCCAAAAATGATCTTAATATGAAAGTTCGGGTAGCAGCACTGTAGTCTTCAGCCCTCGACGACAGCAGAGGAAACTCGACGTTGGAGGGGCTGGCAACGCCTCCTTAACCTCCCATTCAGATTGATTGTGTCAGTGATCCTCTTTATCATGAACCCGTAAGCAGTGGTGCCATTTTACATACACAGATACGGTAAGCATCATGATACTGTGTCTCAACCTTACCAAGAGCACTCGACAGTTAAGGGAATCCTGGCAGAAACCATCTTAAACCACAATTTATGGGATTGGGATGGAAGGATGTTTCAGGGAACAGTTTGGGGTTATCATTTTAACCATCTGCTTTGTTTTCTTTCCTCAAGAAGACTCGACTGGCGATTTGTCCCGCCCCTTCCCCCGCCTCCTCCGCATTCTGATTGCCGGCCTTATTAGTTTTACAGACATTAGTGGACAATGAGGATACAAAATGTCTACTATGATTCTGTAAACAACCAAATTATATGGCCCTAAACACATTTGCAATACCCCACGCGGCCTCAAACACTGGACCCGAATTCATTACAATCATATCCCCTTTGGACACAAGAAGAGGGTGAATGAAGTCCTGATTTTGCTGCGTTTTTATTTTTTTTAAGGTTTTTATTTTTATTTAAACTTCAGTACTCATACCGGTTTTCAACTCACAGCTCATGTGCCCACACAGTGTTTCCCACAGATCTGAAATATACTTCTTTGGGGCGGGTGGGTGATAGCGGGTTGAGGTCACGTTGCCAACAACATTAACATTAACATTTCTGTTGGTCGCCCTGTGTTAGAAGACCTTCAGCGATGGCAGAGTGATACCAGGTCCAGGCAGGGCCCATCAGTGATAGCCCTATAGTTTTTAAATCTACTACCCACGCAAATAAACCTATGGGCAATGTGGGTGAAGATATTTAAAAAAAAATTGGAAATGGTATTTAGGAACCTAATCAATGTGAATTTTAAGTGGGGGTGGACCTCAATCCTCCTCTGGTGGTCCGGGGGCATGCCCCCCGGCTAAGAATTTTTACATACATTTTGGAGTTAAATGCATCAATCCTGGTGCGCAGTTTGAGGGGGAAATAAAGAGACCAGATCTATAACAAGAGAAAGTTGTTATCAGCATGGCCGGACGATCGAAGAATTATCAACCCGGGGGGGCCTCGGGCAAGCCTCATGCTGCGGGGAATGCAGTGTGGTCGGAAACCTGTCAACGAAACTTAACAACATTTACGCACATTTAGAGATAATTTGGGTTAAACCTGGCATAGTAAATAACGGACAATCGTCCGTTCCTGTGATTCTCCAGAGCACACATGGATTTTTTTTTTTTTCTTTTTTTTTTTTTTTTTTTTTTTTTTTTTTATGAATTCGGGTCATGCACGAGTGAGATGAGATCGCTGTCCTTTAAAGAGAGAGATGAGAGAGGGCTGTGCTTGTGCATGTGTTGGTGGTTGTGGTGGATGGCACGAGCGACCAGGCTGAGGGAAACCTTGTGTATTTTTCTGAAAGTGAAACGAGGGCAGGCAGAAAACAGAAGTCTGTGATGTATTGTGTGTGAACAGAAGGAACAGCTAAATACAATGCAACGGCCTTCCCAAGAACGAGCTCGCCTCTCTTCCAGTCCAATTTAAGCTAAAGGTGGGTTTATCAGAACCTTGTTGCTCTGCTGCCTCCTCGACACGGTCTGGAGCCCCGACAGGAAAGTTGTTACCGCATGCCGCCTGCTTCCTGGGGCTATTAAGGCTGGTAATCTCTCTCAACAACAACAACGGAGGAGGAGAAAAGAGACGCAGATACCAGCCTTAATAAGCCCCAGGAAGGCAGCGGCTGTACACAACTTTTCCTGTCCGGCTCCAGAAGCGTAGTCGAGGAGGGCAGCCAGCAACAAGGTCAGATAACCCACTTTAGCTTAAATGACTGGAGAGAGGCGAGCTCTTCTTGGGAGGCCGTTGCATTTATTTAGCTGTTCTTCTGTTTCACAAAATACATCACAGACCTCTGTTTTTCTGCTGCCTCGTTTCACTTCCAGAAACATACACACGTTCCCTCACTGTCGCTCTGCCATCCACACACACACACATGCACAAGCCACAGCCCTCTCTCTCTCTCTCTTAAAGGGACAGCGATCTCATCTCACTCTGCATGACCCTAATATCATAACATGTGTGCTCTGGAGAATCACAGAACGGACGATTGTCCTTATTATTATGCCGTTTAACCCAATTATTTAAATGTGGTAAATGTGTAAGTTTCGTTGACAGGTCCACACACTGCTTCCCCGCAGCGAGGCTCCCGGCCCCCCCGTTGATAATTCTCGATCGTCGGCATGCTGATAACAATTTCTTTGTTATAGATCTGGTCTCTTTATTTCCCCCTCAAAATGCACCAGATTGATGCATTTAACTCCAAAATGTAATGTAAAATCTTACCGGGGGAGCATGCCCCCGGACCACCAGAGAGGATTTGAGGTCCACCCCCACTTAAAATCACATTGATAGGTTCCTAAATACATTTCCAATTTTTTTTAAATATTCACCCATGCCCATATGTTTATTTGTGGGTAGTAGATTTAAACTATAGGGCTATCACTATGGGCCCTGCCTGTACCTGTTCACTCTGCCATCGCGTGAAGGGTCTTCTAACAAGCGACCAACAGAAATGTTAATGTTAATGTTGTTGCACGTGACCTCAACCCGCTACCACCACCCCCCCAAGTATATTTCAGATCTGTGGGAAACACTGTGTGCACATAGCTGTGAGTTGAAAACCGGTATGAGTATGAAGTTAAATAAAAATAAAAACCTTAAAAAAAATAAAAACAGCAAAATCAAGACTTCATTCTACCTCTTCTGTCCAAAGGGAATATGTTGTAATGAATTTCAGGGGTCCAGTGTTGTGAGGCGTGGTATTGCAAATGTTTAGCACATATAATGGTTATTACAGAATCATATAACATTTTGTATCTCTGTCCATAATGTCTGTAAAAACTAATAAGCTGCAATTCAGATGCGGAGAGGGGCGGGGCGGGGAGGGCGGAGAAATCCCCAGGTCGAGGTCTGAGGAAGGAAAAGAGATGGGTAAAATTGATAACCCAACTGTCCCTGAAACTCCTTCATGCCACATCATAGTGTTTAAGGATGGTTTTTGCAGGTCCTACTTCAGTGCCGTCTGCTAAGTGACACAGTATCGATGATGCTTACCGTATGTTGTATTAAATGCACTGTACGGGTCATGATAGAAGAGGATCACTGACCAGATTCAATTGGATGGAGTTTAAGGAGGCTTCAGCCCCGCACCGGGCGTTCCTCTGGGGGGGTGTGAGGCTGAAGACTACAGTGGCTACCGAGACTTTCAGTGATTAAGATCGATTTGGCGATCATTACTGTGTGTGTTATATCACATCCTAGGGATGAGATGCGCTCGGTCCTTCTCAGGGAAGGTTGCTGAGCTTGCCTCTAGCTCCTGGGACATTTAAGAAACAGGCCCTGCGGTTATTATCAGGTTGGAGGTTACTTAAAAAAGT